AAAAGGTTTCAGGATTCTTGCCGTTGCCTCTGATACGTTCTTCACATAGGGTATTGAGAGCCAGAACTTGGGCTTTTCTTCACTTGACCGCTCAAAATGAGGCTTTTTGAGGCAATTGCGTATGAAGGACTTCGGGTAGCCGTTGGCTTTGAAATGGGCGTGTAAGTAATTCATCTCCTCCTTCCTCCCACTGTCGTCGCAACAGTGTGTTTGAACACGTTGAAAGAGAGTTCTGACACAACTGCGTTTATGACCAACAGGGTGGTTGCTTCGGAAGTGGAGGATGCGCCTGGTATTTATTGCCTTACGGTAAACCGTTGTCCTTATCTTCCCGTTTGTCAATCTCGTAATTTGTACGTCCAGGAAGGGCAACTGACTGTTGACTTCCTCTTCCATAGTAAACTGAATATCGGGAAAGATGGAGTTCAACAATGCCTTGAAAGCCTTCACCTCGCTCCTCTTGATTACAACGAACGTGTCGTCGACGTATCTGGCCCAGAACTTCGGGGGGTACGAGCCGAAGACCTGCTGCTCGAGTCTCTGCAAAACTGCTTCGGTAATTAGTCCAGACAGAGGCGAGCTGCTCACCTGAACAGCAACGACCGATCAGTCCACCGGCTGACGTGGGAGAGGCTAAGCGGCACGTTGATTTGACCACAATTACGCCGACCCCAAAGGTCACGCAGGCCTGTCAGCGGTCAGCCCCTGGGAGGTCTAAGCCAGTCAGCGGCAAACAGGCAGGTCAAAGTTCGTGCGTCCAGCACGGCTATAATACGAGGCAAGCGGCAAGACTGAACAACTCAAGACCGGCAAGTGCAACAATTACGCTACTCTGATGATGGAAACGAGGAAGTTTCCGAAACGTCAGTTCGAATACAATATGGTCCATGAATTCGCCCTCTCTTCTTCTTCGTCTTCTTCGGGAGATGATGAACGATCGGTGAGCGCCCCCTAACATTATATATATATATATATATATATATCTGTATACAATGTTAGGGGGCGCTCACCGATCGTTCATACGGAACTCACTCGTTCCGTTGTGCCTTAAGGGCTCTCTCTCGAGCCCAACCAGCAGCCGCGCAGCGGCGCATGATATATAGGCAGAATAGCATTACCGACAAAGACAAGGGAGACTGGAATGGCCATTTCTGGCTTATTAGCCGTCGTCAGCCAGCCATACCCAAGCCCGAAGTGTGGAACACCCGAGCCTCGAACTCGGGTAATATCATTCTGCCTATATATCATGCGCCGCTGCGCGGCTGCTGGTTGGGCTCGAGAGAGAGCCCTTAAGGCACAACGGAACGAGTGAGTTCCGTATGAACGATCGGTGAACGCCCCCTAACATTGTATATTCCCGATCGAAAACCGACAGGGCAACGGGCTCGTGGCCCGGTGAGTAGAGGCGTTGACTTCTAAACCAACAGGTCGCGAGTTCGAGGCTCGGGTGTTTCACACTTCGGGCTTGGGTATGGCTGGCTGACGACGGCTAATAAGCTATAAATGGCCATTCCAGTCTCCCTTGTCTTTGTCGGTAATATCATTCTGCCTATATATCATGCGCCGCTGCGCGGCTGCTGGTTGGGCTCGAGAGAGAGCCCTTAAGGCACAACGGAACGAGTGAGTTCCGTATGAACGATCGGTGAGCGCCCCCTAACATTGTATATTCCCGATGGTAGATGTGAGCTCACCGAGTGGGTTGCGGAACGCACTTGCCCGGTTGGGCTTTTTGACTCACACTTAAACCCTTGCAGTTGGTCGCACAGCGACTAGTAGTATAGGTAAGTAAGGTGGTAATGACAAAGACAAAGGAGACTGGAATGGCATTTCTAGCTTATTAGCCATGATCAGCCAGTCATACTAGTCGCTGTGCGACTGCCTGCGAGGGTTCTCGTTTGAGCTCCAAGGTACACCGGAAAGAGCATGTTTTATGACCCGATTCGTGAGCACCCATCTATCATAATTAATATTCCCAATGATAGCCGACAGGACAAGGGGTCGTGCCAAACCTCATGCTCAAAGATCTCGGGTTCGAATCTCAAGTGATCCACATTGGGCATTGAGCATGGTTGGCTGATGACGGCTAATAAGCCATAAATGGCCATTCAGGTCTCCCTTGGCTTTGATGGTACCACCTCACTTACCTCCTTTCTGTAGTACAATTTAATTCATCCGCAATATCCTTTTCACAAATGGCATACACTGATATCATTAATGCCTTTATTCATTTGCAGGAAACATCTGTGAACAATGGAAGTTTCACAATCGCTATTTCATGGCAGACATTTGTCCTGGGTGTACAAATTTTTTAAAAACGCTTTTTATTTGTTTATTGCCAATATGCTATAGTTTCTCACTAATTTGCGTCCACTGTCTGATGGGATGGTGGGTCCAGCGTAGGACGTGCGCCGATATACAAATAGGTTCAATACTGCTAGGTCACATGGGGCGGTGGAGAGTTCCGATATGCCACATTTAGGGAATACGCCCCAGAAGGGAAGGGTGATATCATGAACGGAAGATAAAACGCGAAAAAGTGGGCGTCCCGCTGCGCTTTTTTGCAGTGGCAGGACCAGAGGCGTCTGGGGTGTTGAAAACCCCTCTATAGTTCTGCCTACCCCCTTCGTAACCTATACAGACCTGTGGTTATAGGGAGTTGTGCCGTGCTAATGCTGACAAGGCTGCCAATTCTGTTGATTGCTGTGCAGTTACGAAGGAATTTCAGTCAGTGGTACTCCACACGAAAGTCAAAAAGGAAAACAAAATGTGTCGGGGTCTCGGATATTGTCACTTTGAGAGCGCGGGTTTCCGCTATCTTCCAGTTGTGAATAAACTATGCTAGACGTCAAGTCATGACCATACTTGCAGTGCCATGAGTGAACTGGCAAACGAACGACCAGGATACATCAAAAAGAGGCCGCAAAGAGCAGTTTACAAGTAGTTTCATCTGCAACTAGATTTAAATTACGTCAATCAAGGCAAAGGTGCCGGGTTTCCCGATTTTGCCCTCACTTTACCCATCAGGATGTCAACATAGCCTCTCGACCTTAGTCGGATGAATGATATAAGAGCCATTATTCCATGCAAGTTAGATAAGACTGGATAATACTTCAGCTTTACTACCACCTTCTTGAAAACTCCAAGATATAGAATCCATAATTTAAGTTGATAGTAAAGTCAGGAGACATAACAGAGCGCTTACTTTTCTCGGATGGCTTCGATAAAGCAGTGCCGACCACTGTGAAGTGAGCGTTCAATCAAACGGACAGGTGCGGACTTGAAAAAAAAACACATAGTCAACTTTTGACATTTTAGAAGTCCAGTGGAACAAATGATCATCTTAAAAGTGCGAGAAAATGCCCATAAAATCGACCACGTATTCAGAATATGCTCGTTAAACATAACTATTGAAGTGGGTCCTGGGAAGGGCATACTTTGAGCTGTCAATCATTTTTAAGCAAAGTTAATAAAACACATAAGTACGTGTCTTGTCAACTTAACGATCGTAAACTTGACAATAATAGATTGCATTTTAAAGTTATATAATGGGAAGTGTCAGCAAATCAGGTACACTTAGCCTAAGAACAAGTAAAAATAAGTTGAATATAGGCGGAAACGTTTTTAGAACAAACTTGCCTGTGGTGTCGCCTGCCGATGGAGATAGGTAACCATCACTTGACTCTGCAAAGGGCTGCTCCAAGTTCCGGGATCTGCGTAGAACATTTCCTATCCGATAAACGAGAGCGGTAAATCTGTCTTACAAAGAGCTTGTGTCCCTTCACGTTGTTCCAGAGTTCAATTGGCTCCAGAGACACTTCAATATTCGACGACAGACTTTCGAAATACTTCAGGAAAGTAGATTTCCCACATCCGATATTGCCCTCAACAGCGACTTTGTAAAAACTAAGGGAATAAAAGTTACTAAACTGTACTTTTTTGGAATCATTTTTCCGAACCAATGTTGCGAGAAGATCCTGACAAGAGGTCTGCGCCTTTCACTGTTTGACCCGTCAATTCGCGGTCACTAAATTCAAAATTAAGTAGACGCGTTTATAGAGTTCAATAAAACGATTTATTAAAACGAATGCACACAGACAATGCCAGAGAATATTCTTTAGAAAGATGTCCGCTTTTTTACAAATACAAAGTTGTAAATTTCAAAAAAGTTGGTATAGGAAAGTGCGCCCAACGAGTTCAATGTCCCATTTGATTGAAAGTTCTGTGCTTTTTTTCGGTACAACAGCATCTGTGAGATTTCAACCACTTGCTTGAAAATTGAGTGATTTATTTTCTTTTTAAAGTCAGAAAAGTCTGTTTACTTAACTAAGTATTTAGTCGAGGCATGGCTTTCGTGAACTTTTTTCTCCATGGACAGAGTATTGAGGAGTATTTTTACATTGACCGAGAAGATGCCATTTATTTCCGGCAGGCAGAACTGGTTGTCTTGTGTGCATATGTATTGTTTTTGACCATGATTGTGGGTTATTGCAGTAAGTTAACCGTCTGTTCTATGGGTCATCTGCAGTTAACCCAAAACAGATTCCTCGCAGTGACGATATATTGAGTAGAGTATTGATTCCTCTGTCTAATACTGTGTATATTGTTCGAATGAATGATAATACAGGAGTGTCCTTGTTTCTTAGGTAAACAAAATATACAGCAGTAATGCGGTAAATCTTATCGTATTACCCATAGGTCCGAAATAGAACTGCTACTACCGCACCCAGAATGTTAACCTTTTTGCGGAGTTCTCAATTTCAATATTGGATGCAGAAATGCCTACCGGTACACGCACGCCTTATGATGAATCCAATGAGTTATGTACATTACGACAGCTCCGAAGCATACAATTTTCTCAAAATGTAGGTCTTTCTTGCCGGACAAACACAAGTTCATATCGACTGCTTATTTGTCTTTAGCCGCATCGAGCACGTCCTCCTTATTGCTGCGCCCAAACAAGATTGATCCAGGGCATGAAAACGTTTCCTTTACCGGCGGAGACTATACGAATATGATCCTGATAAGCAGCTGCTATGTTAAGCCAACATTCGGGGTGGTCTTCAACATAAAATACAATGCATTGCAAACGTAAATATATGTGCGCGGCGCAACAAAGGATCATGGCACATGTATACAGTTGGACATTAATGCGATCAAACTTAATAAATTGCTTTGCTTATGCTACTGGACAACGTTTGCGTGTACATGTTTCTCATTTTGCTGACGCCTATACGATGTAATTGTTTTTCAGACTTTGTGACACCGAATTCCCTAGGGAGTTTTCCGAATGAATTTGCAGTCAGGACTGAGTTCTTGAAAGTCGTCCTTGTCAATATCGCCTGAAACGCTCCTGTTCGGGATTATAATCCATACGTGAAAGCGAAAAATGTGCACCACGTGATATTCTGTAGGTGAATTTGGGATTGTGAGCACGGCTGCTGCCGTGGTCGTATAATCCCAGTCCGTAGAAGGCCCGTCGTACGGCACAAAGCCGGAAAATTGACGGCCTCTCCAGCTGCGTGCCTGCAGAATCGCAGAGAGACTTGACGACCTAGTGTGAGTGTCATATAATTAGTAGTTCTCTGTAGTGCCCCGTAAATTGGACCCCGATGGGTCTTTAATGAAAATTATTATAAGTACATAGTAGATGTACTGGACCAGCACGGGGCAATATCGGATCTTAGTAGGCATTATCGGATTGCGTACCATAACAAAGACCAACGTCACGGGATGCAGTGGCAAACCCGGATGTCGGCAAACGTCGTGCCCATTAGGGTCCCTGTCGACCCAATTGTTGTTGTTGGTCAGAAGCCCGGTCATTTTTTGTGTATATCAATGCGTTTGGGGTTGTGTGTAAATGTGCGGGCTCGACCGTGCCATCCAACTGCGCTCTCCCCCGCCCCCGGTCTTCTTGACTCCGTCTTGCCACAGGGTCCGGGTGGGAGGAGGAGAAACGAGTGCGGTAAATGCTGTGCAAGTCTTCATTCACTATAAACTAATTCGCAGACAAGTCGCTGTTCTTGCTTCACCGTGCTGTGGAGCGCACGATGGACATCGTCGGCAACGTCGACGGAACTAGCGGAGTTCCCTACAGACACGCGTAAACTAATTTCTGATCCCGAGGACGCATCGAGCAAGCCTTTCGATTAACGCTAGTCACCCCAAATCTGTAGGCAGGTACCATTAAATGTTTCTGAGACGGGTTACGGAAAGGCAAACATCAACAGCCGAGCATGATTGTTGTCTGCTGGTGCAGAAGGAATCCGCATCCACTCGGCATGGCTGTTCTCCATGTCGTTGAAATTCAGGTAGTAAAAAATGAACTACCTAGCTCAACAGCACACTCTGGCTATCAGCGAGCTGACGAAACCAAAGGCGATGTTCGTTGATAAAAAAGGAGCAATTCAGACGAAAAAAGTCTTTGCCAACCAGAGCGATTCTCTAGTGTATTTGTCCTGGGCACAAATGAAATTTATGATTATTTTGTTCGCAGGCTGATAACTAAAGCAAAGTTTGGGCAAGAAGCGGTAGTTAAATGTGTACATGTATTTATTTCTAATGACTTACACGTAAAACTGATAATCATAGTGTGAGTGCAGAACGAGGAGTTCGTCAGGAATCTTCTCACTGTTATGCTTGGACCACCTCTAGGTCACAGCATCCACCGGGGAAGTTCTACGGGCAAGCACTCGTTCGATGACTGTCCACTGAACGCTGTCCTCAATGATCTAGCAAATTCATTTGTGACGCATGCAAAGGCCACCCACATAAACACTAATTTTGCTAACTGCTCTGCAGAAGTCGTTTCCAACACGGCTCTCGACTGATTCCATGAATCGAAAGACTGGTACGTTTGCAGAGCTAAACGCCGGGGCACAGCAGACAAGACAAAGAATTTTTATTGAATGCATCCTGAAAAATCTATTCCGTTTCTCGAAGGGACCATCGAACAGCTGTTTGTCTAACACCGTCTTCATGGGAAGAAGCGGTAGCCAGCATTGATATAACTATATCCCTTGTCGTATGTACTCTCTTTAATACCGTATGCTGCGTATTTCAGGGGATATTAAACGATATTCCAAAATGCTTCTTTTTAGGAAATGTTTGAGTTGACAGTGTAGAAATACTTGTTATCGATAAGTGTGGTTTCTTAATTGGTACAAATGATTTATCTTTGCTTATAGGTAGTTACCGGCAAAATGTGCGTATGCATTTAAAAACAAATACACTTAAGTCGTTTAAAGCTTTCCTTTTGCAGTTTCTTGCGCCTCATTCCTATTTTCTATTCCATGAACAGTTATCTCCTGGCTTTATCAACGTTTTCCCAACAAAAATACTCTAGAGCTTCAGTTAAAATTTGGAAAGATGCTCCATCTACGGTTTTCAATTATTATTTATTCCGACGAATATGGCATCCAGATGCTTTTCGGACGGATAATTTTCTTTACTTATATGAATCAGCAATGGATGAAGGTATTTGTGGGTCTTATGCATCAAAGCAGACATTTCTGCTGATTGTACATGCGCTGTCCAAACCTATCATTATTTATTACCTACAAACAACCTCTTCTCAGTACTTGGCACACATTATACTATGCCCTGAGATTAAGGGTGTAACGCAGGGAGTTCGCTGTCCCACTTTTGGCTCCATAAGGCTGATTGCCTTCAGTGAGACGTTAGGGGGTCCCAAAGTGCCATATTCAAAGGTGCTACCGTAAAGGAAACTTTTCGGGGAATACCTCTAGAAGAGAAAATCTACATCATAAAAGGGGACCAGAAATGAAGTAGACGAAGCGGCACCCAACGCACTTTTTCCGCCGTAGACCACCTTCTAGCGGGTCCTGGTCTCCTCACAACCGTATCCAGACCCGCAGGGGAAAACAAGACTACGTAGGACTGATGGTGGCGGGGATCGATACGTTAGATACATTCACTGGAATGTCATACAGACACGCGATGACAAAGCGGACGGTATTAGCAGTGCTCGGTGTTCTCCTACGCGACGTAAGATCAGTTTATGAGCTGTGTAAAGCATTGCGTTAAAGGGGACCGTCTTCGCTTAAAAAATTGTCCGCTGACATGTTTGGCTGATTCCTCTGGTCTGCTGAGCGTTATGTGGAAAGTGGTGCATAGGAAAAAATAGGACATATCAAGTTGCCTACTTCCAATAATGGACATTATAAGCTAATGTCGAGTTCCATAGACAGAGTTGTAATTTGAATTATTTCGTGTTGAAACACCACTGAATCTCAGTAATTCCTGCATTAAATCAGCCGGTGTTTGGACTCTTCTCCTAATCAGACGACATCTATCCGTGTTCTGTTGCTTTGCGTTTCAGCAAGCATACATTCAAGTTCCATCTTTGATCTTTAGACGAATATGGTCATAATTTACTGGAAAGATTCTCCCAACATTATTATTTTATTACACTCAGGCGTAGTTTGTAAGATGTCCCGTTTGGCATAGTTCGTGACACTGCCTGTCGTTTTGACATTTATGAAGACATTTAAGTCTCTTAATGCAAATAATTTCCATAACAGTAAAAAGAAGCATGAATGTGTCAAAGAAAATGTCCGATTAAGTGCACAGACGACTTTCTGCAAAGCGTCCAACCAAGTTGTTTGACTGGACTTTGCTATCGTTCTGTCGCTATTTCACATAAGGGATACATTTTGTAATCCACGTCCCCAGTAATGATGCCGAACACGTGGCAGCTGTACGGAGAAATGACGCCAACTCTCAGATCGCGGCCCATTCGACGAGACCCGGCCACACATTCAAGTTCGATGAGGCCGAAATTCTCGCCAGAGGAGATAATCGTGTAAGCCGCGAGTTACTTGAGTCATTGTTCACGGGACCTCAGTCTATCAACAAGTGCAACGACATCCCCACTCCATATTTTGTGCTGAGGCATAGGCTGGCCAAGGTAACTGACCACTCGGAGAACGCGCAAGCCGTTGAGACGGATGGCTGAGCAATCATCACGCCAGCATCCAACACGGGTGATGACATTTCGGTAATTAACAGCTTGCATGCCGGCCAACAAGCAATTAGCACACCAGCGGGCAACGATCCCTGATGAAGGGAACGCGGTTAATTGCTATAGGTATGCGGTAGCATAGCGACTGCATCCTATAAATACTGCAACTTACTGTGCACGAGTCACCCTTTTCAGCTACTGTCTCTGATGGTGGATTCAAGAGAGAATCCGAAACGTCAGGCGATCGCTTCTTCTTCTTCTGATCAATGATGTTCTTGATGCCTGATGCAACACTGCGGCCCTCGCGCATATGTACAATCGAGTTTGGTTCTTGGCCAATAAACCTCGAGACTGACCCAGACATAATTTTTCTCAAGGCGCTCAGACGCCTACCCCCCGATGGCCCTCAGACGCCGACTCATGCGACGCCGGAGGTTTGTCTCTCGCCCAGCTGCCGACTTGCTCTTATCTTTTCTAATCATCCTGCACATAATACAATGGTGTTTTAAATGTCGTCTACCTTCTCATCTTTCTCTGCGGGACTGGGCCTGAAGGCCATAGTGCCTAAGGTTCTCCGGTCGTAAAATCTACTGTCGTCGCCTTACTGGTCATAATGACTTATTTGAACCTCCTAAAATCGCATCGTTTGGACAATTTTAGGGCGACAAAGCTTTGCGACACCATTTCTCACCCTTCCGTCTGACACAGTACATATGTGAATTTCAATAACAACGGTCGCTTTTTCCTTATTCATCTATTTCACACTTTGATCTGAAGTACTACTTTGCTGAACGTGATCCCCTTCGATAATTCTCAAACAAGGCAAAGGAGACGAAGCATGCAGAATTAAATGACGTGATCAAATTTCGTGGCATTTTTTAATGCTGCGTACTGTCATTGCGTAAATACGATATAAACTGTTCAATTAAGGTGCGACCTAGAGGGCTGAAACGAGAGAAGTAAATGAATCATGGACTGTTGGGCAGATACGCTGGTGTTCCTGGCGAGGGGAAGGGGAAGAGCGTTATCTATGCAGATGAGTTCGAATTACGGTGAGAACCTGTCGAACGTAATTAAAGCTACAATGCGCGGTAAGGCAGTCACGTGAGGAGACGTAAGTGAAAAGACGGGTGTGGGGAAGGGTTACATCCGTTATCGATCCTTACGACGACAGTGTGGGGCGAATCACGTGACCGAGCTGCCTACACAGTCTTAGTTTCCCATCCTGTATCGCAGCAACGTCTGTAAAGCGCAGGAGACTCCCAGTCGTTGCCCGATGTAGGATCTTAAATGCAGTCATTGGTTCAGCCGTACGACCAGTGTCCATTATGTGTCGCGTGCTTGAACTTCTGGGTACCCTATTTCCCGCCCCTGACAACCACTTTGGCATGTGTTAAGTTGGCCGATTTGCCAACTGCCTTTGCGTGCGCCCCGTTCATTTGCACCCAAAAGTACATGTAAATTTACAAATACAATTTGATGCGGCGTGCATAGTCAGAGTGTGTGCAGTTGGACTGACTGGAATAGACGTTGTTGTGCTTAAAAATAACAGGTTAGAGGCAGCGTACGTTCGTTCAACCGTGTATCGAAGCCGCCGCTTGATCACGTCTGACACATTATCATCCTTGAAAGGGAGGTCAATGCACACCGGATACTTTGGCACGGATATATCTGCAGGACTGTCTTGTCCGAGATAGCGATACTTATCTATGAATTTCTCCGAAAACTCGTTTCCATGGAAGATGTTCATT